CATCTGGCTCCTTCACTTTCTAAAATCTCCTGTGTATTCTTCCAGTCACCATTAAGCGATGTATTTGCACCAATGTGGGTGACGGCGATGCTCCTCCTGTTCAAACATTTGGCAACCGTAAGAAAGAGCGATATCTTTCCATACATTTTTGTCTATATGCAACTGCAAGAATGTTTCTGTGTCCGGATGTTTCAGCTGAATAAACAAACAAGCTTTGACACTGAAATTTTCCCAATGGGTTCCTTGGCCAAGCGTTGCACATGCGATTCTTGCGCATGGGCGCAAATAGCTAATTCCGGAACAAAGCCAGGTTATTTTCAATAAATGACCACTCGTTGGGAATTATTCATTTTCCTTTACGCAATATTTATGGTGATTTACGGCACTGAATGTGAAGCAACAACCCCATTCATACCGCTAGTGACCTGATTGCTTCAAGTTTCGTGCAAAAATGCATGATCGCACAGGCAAACCTGGAGCGTTCCAACCTGGGTTTTGTCCGATGAAATGGGGATACAAGAAATTCGATATATTTCATTTATGATGCAAGCATTCCACAGTCAATCAAAGCCAACTTTTAACTTTGTCCTCTCTCCCTCCATTCTTCCGCCGAGAGAACGGCAACAAAATGATTTTAGCTAATCCTACTACTCATCCAAAATTCATTAATGCAAAATGCCCGATTCTACGAATCTGTGATCGCATCTTTAAGATCACTTACTGTCATGAAGAGCAATGCATTGAGCAAAACACCGACCCAGTCAATTTATTTTGGCAATTGCCGAAGCTCGTTTGGGGCGCACGTTGAGCACATGAGGATGTAATGGTATACACAATGACAAGAAGTGATATGCAGGCCCAAAACAATGTGAGGAAGTGCTGATCGACAAAGTGAGCTTGAGAGGCTCTTCTGGAACTGTCATCACGAACTGAACCAGTTTCGTTCTTCGTCTTCACATTTACCAGGAGCTCCTCACAAAACTATGGACTGGGCCCACTTCCGCTTCCAAAAGGGATTTTTATTTTTGAGGATTTTAGTTAGCTGGGAGCATTACTTGCAGATTTTCATCGTTTAAATGCCTCCCAGATTAGCAGCAGTCCATCAGCTT